GAAGGTGACATCACACCTTCTCAAAAACAGCCGGGTAGTAGACATTGATGGTTAGGATGATTTCTCCTTCGGCGATCAGGTCAGTCATTGTTTTTGGTTTTCTTCCAACAGTAATACGCTCCTGGAAATTACAAAGACAAAAGCTTAATAATGAGATACCTGAATGATCAGATATGTCTGGTATTCTTAAAATAGACCAACTTCAATAGACCAACCAGTTCATCTGCGTAGAGGGTGTGTCTGTTCTTGCCTGTTTTCAGAGTAGCTTTGTAATCTTGCCTTTCTTTTCTTTGCCTGTTAAAAAAAAAAAAAAAAAAAAAAAAAAATCACAGCTCATTGAACTCTATGTGTTTTCACACTGTTGCTTAATCCATGACACAATACAAGAGGAAATATGTGGAGAAAAAAAAAGTGTCATACATCAACGTGTTCAGCGTTGCATCTTCAGGTACAATCGTGTCATCAGGCTGCTGATCCGGAGGATGGCAACGCAGCGAATCAAGGCTAGAAACAGGAAGTAAAAAAAAAAAGGTTTGTAAGCAAGGTTCAAGTTGTAGGCTGTTCATGAGAAGAACAGCTAGTATACAATGAATTATAGCAAAACAATATGAGATATAAAAGCTGTACTAGTCTCAACGTTAAAGAAGCGTATAATTTAGAGTGCATAATATGAACTGTCTTTTTGAGTCATCTTAAAATTGCAATGTGTTTTATTTCCTGCCTACACATCTACATATGTAAGCTGGCTTCACTAACTAAGTGCTGTTAAGTATTTTCTTGGGGTCTCAAAGCGAGGGCATTTTCTAAAAAGCGTGATAGACATCATGTATGCCTTGTCACATGTAAAGCACCTTGTATTTTACAGATCAATTATTATTGATCATTGATTATATGATCCACGTTTCCCTGAGATCTTTAAGTGACGTGTGGGCCGTTTTAAAATGCAACAGCAATAAAGTAAGAGGACATTTTTCAGATGGCACTTTGACACTAAAAACGTCATACTGCAAGAAAGCTGCAGGTGGAAGTGTTTAAAATATTGCTCCAGTGAAATACACTGAAATCATGAGGACATAAAACACTGAGCATATTGTGATGTGATTAGCCAAGGACTCTTAAAAGGCATTAAAAAAAATTAAAAAAAAAACCTCCTGCTCCCCATTTGCTTGTCAAACACACCTTTTGTCAAATTCGTTCACACGTTGTCATTGGATTTTATTCCAATATAAGATTGTATTTGTGCAGGCTGGAGAAACATTGAGTTAATTAAAGAGACACACATGAGGTTTTTAATTTTTAAACTTGATAACAGTTGCTAAAACGTAGAGTCCACGTCGGTGTTGATACCTGCAGACGGATTTGAGTTCAGCCATGGTCTCCGGGTCAACCCGCATCTCTCTGGCAAAGTCGGCGTCAAACGTGTCCTCGTCCTGCTCCCTGAAGGACACGTCGCTCGGCTTCAGCCTCTTGAGCCACTCGTTTCTGAAAGCTTCGATGTGAAACGGTTTGGTGTTGACGTCCGTGTATTCATAATCTGGGATGTCAGAGTTTGCTTCGGACGAGAGCTCGGCCGCCGCCATGTTTCCTTGTAACCTCCTCGCAACGAAGGGAATTGTGGGTTATGTAGTTTTGTAAGACTAGCGGCTCTTGCGAGATTAACGTCGGGGGCCGAGGAAGCGTCTAGATTACTTTTGGCCCTTTCTGCTCCCACTTCTACAAAATTCTTTTCTGTGCTAGAAAATGTGAAAGAAGCATTATTATATTTAGATATTTTTAAACGTAAAAAAAAACAAAAACTGAATTATAGCTTGACATAAATGAGCTTGATGGAACCGTAGAAGTTATGGTAATATACATATAGATTATTAGTGATGGTTACAGTCTGTGTTAGGTGGGGGTTGTTTCTGCTGTATAAATCCAATGAAGAAATCGTGAAACAGACTGTAGATTATAACACCATTTAATCGGCCGAGGTCAGACAAGTTCACCAAAACACGCATGCTTACAAATCGCTGACACAGTAACAGTGTTCACAGTGCTGCTCATATTCTGTGAAAAGGTGCAACCCACAAATTCCTTTCTATTTGGGTACATCACTATAAAACAATAAAGATGACATGAGACTGATTTGTATACGTAACAGATGTAGACTCTGTCTAGCAAACAGTTGTTGACAACATATGGTTGGCTCTTACACAAATGAAGATCTTCTACAAAGGTGTTTCACCCATATAAGTTTACAGCTCCAGACACCCAAAAGTAGGAGTGCTAACAGGTGGTAGAAAGACTTAAATAATACATTTCACAAAGTTACCAAGATGAATGAATTTCATGAAAATTCGTACTAACAGTCTGCCACCTCCCTACTTAAGTACGGTCTTAAGTTAGGCCTACATGGCTATGATATTCTTCCATCCTAGGAGGACTTGGAAAAGTTGTATAGCCTGTTTTACTCCCCTGGCAGCTAAAACTAAACTAGGTTATCAATCAAACACACAATTAAAAGAATATAACAGCAGAACTTAGCTTTTGCTTCCTTTTTTGCTCTGTTACACGTGAATGTGTATCTATTTAAGAGAAACTGTACTTTACTGTGATGATAGGATATCAAAGCTGATTCTGATATTGACATTTCATACCAAATTTATAAAAATCAGAATTTCATGGGTTGAAAATGACTCAACACACCATCTACTGTTTACAATCAGCCCTGAACTTTACAAGCCCGATGCTACAAGACCACACTGGTCGGGACTTGTACATGTCATGAAATGCAATTCATGTTCCAAAACTAAATGTAATAAAATTCCGTGAGAAACGTTTGCCTCACACACTCACACACCCAAAGTAAGCATTTATTCAAATAATGCAGTTGGTTTAGAGCTGATGAAGTAACACACACTTTCACCTTCTCTTACAAATTCAAATTAACCTGTCGCTTAGGGGGTCCAAAACATACATTTCCAGTGTTGTACGCAGCTGTATGCTTTTGCAAGCGTGCATGTTTTTTGGGAGGTTCTAACCCACAATCCACTGCCTATAAAATGCTTCATCCCAACACTTTGGAGGATGTTTAAATATATTTTCTAGGTTTTACTTAAATTTTAAAAAAAAAAGTATATTCTTAATTCCACTCAGAAATCAATGATAAAAATGCAGTTATAAAACAAATACTGAAATGTCAGATGAGGAGAAGACAAATTAGATAGGATTTCATAAGAAAGAAATCATTTTGAAGTCTCAGTAAGCTTTAAGTTTTTGCTTATTATTAGTGTTTGTGTTCAGAGTTTTGTTTTGGGGGGGAAAAGAAGAAGAGGAGGAAAAACACAAAACCTACTTTTATATTTATTGACATCTCTGTACTTAATTAGCTTTCACCCTAGTCGATGAAAATTTTTATTTTCCTCCTCCTGTTGTCATCAATAGTTTTAAGCTCTTGCCTTTAGAGTATTGATGTCTAAGAGCATGAATGCATTTTGTGAAAGAAGTCCTCACTGAATAGATATAAATTGATGTGTGTGCATTCTGTAGGTCTGGTTGAAGTCCTCTCTGAATAGATGTGTCTGCATGCTGTAGGTCTGGTTGAAGTCATCTCTGAATAGATGTGTCTGCATGCTGTAGGTCTGGTTGAAGTCCTCACTAAATAGATGTGTGTGCATTCTGTAGGTCTGGTTGAAGTCCTCACTAAATAGATGTGTGTGCATTCTGTAGGTCTGGTTGAAGTCCTCACTAAATAGATGTGTGTGCATTCTGTAGGTCTGGTTGAAGTCCTCACTAAATAGATGTGTGTGCATTCTGTAGGTCTGGTTGAAGTCCTCACTAAATAGATGTGTGTGCATTCTGTAGGTCTGGTTGAAGTCATCTCTGAATAGATGTGTCTGCATGCTGTAGGTCTGGTTGAAGTCCTCACTAAATAAATGTGTGTGCATTCTATAGATCTGGTTGAAGTCATCACTGAATAGATATGTCTGCATGTTGTGGGTCTGGTTGAAAGGAAAATTATTGAGTTGAGTTTTCTGTACTGCTCAGAGAAAATTATGTATATATATACATATATAAAACATTATTTTATAAAATGCAGATTGTTTCACAAATGCTCATCTTCTCTTTCCAGATGCAATCAGAAACATTTAAATCCATCCCCTGCTGTCCCTGGGCCGCCTGTGACCACTTCTGCTCCCTAAGCTGTTTGGTATTGTTTGTTCTTTTACACTAGTTATTTGTATTTATTTTATTTTGTATTTACTTATAAGAAATATTAGTGTTATTACCATTTTATAAATGTTTGTCTATAAGTATTTTTTTCTTTTTTAAATAAAGACATTCTGTTAAATTTAAAGCTGTAAGCCAGTTTTCTTAAGTGGATGAATATTGTCTTTGGTGGTCAAACTGTCTGCAATATAAGGGGCAACTGCTCAGTTCTTAGCAGTCCTAGGGCACCAAAATGGCTAGGGTCGGCTCTGTAGTCTCATAATGACAACTTGAATCAGTCTCGTATTTGCAACTGTATTAAATACTCCTGTAGACTTTCTAACAAGAAAATAACATTCAAGCTTTTCAGATTTTTTTTTCAATTTATACACCTACTAAGTTTTTTCATCAGTAAATTAGCTACGTGCTTTTTCTAATTTGTTCCCTTGGTTTGATGCGCCAATTTTCTAAGACTAATTTTAAAAGGGAAGTTTGTTTAAAAAAAAAAAAAAAGTTCTTGCTCAAAGTCCGGACCTTAACGCTTGAGGGGGAAGAGTAGCCTTTTTATTTTATTTTTTTTTAATCCAGCCATAGTGCGTCAATGATGAGGAGACAAATCTGTGGGCTGGTCCTGCACATCACGGCCCCTTCCGGACTCTCACCTTATAAATGCCGCGGGAGGTGAAATTATCGTTGTGTCTGCGAGAGCAGAGAAAGCTAACGCAACGAGGACTGCGTACATTTTTGCCGAGAAAACCCTAATTTGTCTTATTAACTTAATTGTGGTATTATCTCTTATCCAAGAAGAAATGGAGACGAAAGGCAACTCACTTCAATCTGTAAGTATTTTTTCTCCACTTCACTACAACTCTCTGCAGGTGTTCAGTGACAAGAAGTTTTGTAACATTTTGTTACATCAGATCAACCTTCTTTAAACCTCTCTTTGTTTTTATTTTCAGTGTTGTCATTGACATGTAGTCTCAGATAAGACAGTGAACTCATCTGTCAGTTGAAACTGATTCAGCATTACCTAATGTTTACCTGAAAGAAAATGTGTTGTTTTAATTGGACATGTTAGACCCTCGGTGATTTCACTTTATCTGCAGGCTAAATGTTGTGGCCTTAAACGGCCTGATTTATCGGTAACTTTTTTTATTTTATTTTTTATAGGCTTGTAGGAATGCAATATGTGATGTTTTAAGGCTTCATGAAACACCCCGTTAAATATAAGCTAAGCTATGAGCGAGTAGGACACTTGGACAAATGCTCAGCAACCTCTTTCTCTCCTTTTCAGAACTTTAAGGGATTTCTGGAAAGAAGAGAAACAAAAGAGAAACAAGCCAAATTTGTTGCTTTCTCTTTAGACATCACTTCTGGTCAATTTCCGTATCTATAGCAAAAAATGAAACTCAAATAAATTGTATTGAAATGATAATTTCATCCTAGAGGTGTGTTGGGTGTCATTTTAAAACTGACTTTCAAGTAAACGTTTATTTTCCCTCCTCCCTTTTCAGGTTGACTTAAACCTTCACGTTGAGGAAGTAATGTGAGTGACAAAATTCAAAGTATTTATTTATATAACCTTATGTACGTAAAACTGAGCATCTCACTGATATATCCTCATAATCATATTCAAGCAAACGAGCCTTCATCTGCTGTTTGTAATGCACTAAACACACACTAGAGGTCAGTAGATATATCTTACTGATGCGCCCTCTTATCCAGTCAGTAAACTGTACAAACATACACATTTAAAAAAAAAAAGATTCACACACTCAGCTTTTTAATATTCATCTCTGATAAAAAAAAAAAATATTAGGCATGCAAAGGAAGAGATTTTAAGTGGTTTATTTTGATGAACCCATTATTACAGTTTAAAAGTACATTCAAATGAAAGCCTGAAGTTTCTTCCTCTGCCGCAAGGTTCTTGCGCATGACTTTACGGCAGGTTTGTGTTTGTGATTTTGTGCATATTGGTAAGTAGAAGCCTAGCAATTTGCAATCTCTTCTGCAGGTCATCTAAAATGGATTTAGAGACTTCGTTGAAGGAATGCTCTGCTGCCCTTGAACTTTTTCTGGACAATAGGTTCTCTGATGCTTTGGCTCTCTTAAAACCCTGGTAAGTCACAGACGATCTTGATAATTTGTCACTCTTGCAGTACACAGCCTCTAATTGTGCTTTAATTTGCCCCTATCAGTGATTGATTACTATTTCTTAAATGACATGCTCGGAATAAGCATATTGCTTTACGTTTGTCCCCTTCAGGAAGGCTCAAAGCATGTACCACGCAATGGGCTACAGCAGCATCTTGGTGATGCAGGCAGGCATGACTTTTGAACCAAAGGACATGGATGCTGCCATGACGTCACTGAGAGAAGCCCTGCAGACATGCCAGAGGTATGATGTAACATGTGGAAAAATGTAATGAAAGTTTTATAACGCTGAAAGATTATTTGGTTCAAAATGTATCCATATACTTTAATGATGTAAATGTATTGTTCAAAAACAATGGACTGAACGTCTCTGTTAAATTGTAACCTTATACTTTGTGCTCCTTAAATAAGTTTTAGGAAGAAAACTGGAATAGTGGAGACTCTGGCCAGTCTGTGGTACAGACAAACAGCTGACAACCTTACAGAGGGTGAGTGCAGAGTTCTACTATCTCCACAGGATACAAATTAGTGAGAGCAATTACTTGATCACACCACAAATCACATGATGACAATAGTGACATACAGGGGAATTACACTCATTTGGATGGTAGTTTAAGCAACAGTATACCCATTTAGACTGAAATGACCAGAATGGACTTAAATCTTGATAAATGTCATTGATTGAGTACGAGTCACAGCACATAATGTCAGTGCGATTACTGATAGGGCTGCACAGAAGTCTTCTGTCTTGTTCTATTTAAACATAAAAGAGTTTTCCAAAAAACTATCCTGTGAAATATCAGATTAATTATTTGTTTTCCTACAAATGTTAACATGTGTGACTGGTGTCACATTGACACTGTGAGCAAGTGCCGATTACTGTAGCCCACGAATGAGAATGTCAATCCGAATTATTTTGCTTATTTCTTGTAAACAGAAGAGATGCATGCAGAGCTGTGCTATGCTGAAGTTCTGCTGCAGAAGGCTGCCCTCACATTCCTGGATGAGAGTATCATCGGCTTTATCAAAGGAGGGATGAGAATCCGAAATAGTTATCAGATTTTCAAGTAAGAGTGCTGAAGAGGGTCTTTGTGTGGGGGCGTAAAAACAAAAAAAGTGAAAACATTGAGGTATATTCTTAAGTAACTTGTTGATTCTCCTTTCAGGGAATGCCAAACTATGGCAAGCGTCACAAAAGACATGGAAGAAAGGAAAAGCACACATGTTCACTTCAGGGGCGGCATCAGCATGGGCATTGGATCTTTTAATCTGGTAAATGTTGCTTTTCAGTCATCCTGTAGGCCCATATTTATGGATGCATGTCGAATCTTTTAGTGGTAAATTGTATTATAATGAAACACCTTTTTTAACGCCCACTTTTCCTCAGATGCTGTCTCTGCTCCCGTCCAGAGTCCTCCGAGTGATGGAGTTTTTGGGCTTTTCAGGAGACCGGGTAGGTCCCGTCACATAGAACCCATATATTTCTAATTTTGTAAAGTTCTCTGTCAATATAATCAAAGTGATTTGATAGTGGAGGTTTTTCTAATGTCAATTGACATCTATCATTATGTTACAGGAAGTAGGTTTGTCAGAGCTAAGACAGGGAGCAGGCAGCAACAGCCTGCGCTCCATCCTCAGCGCTCTGACTCTGCTGATGTATCACCTCTACATTACAGTCATTCTAGGTGAGACACTGTGTTACGGGACCACTGCATCATTTCTTACAGGCATTCAATTTCCTCATTCTTTCTTTAATTTGTAAATAAAAACAATATTTAGCTTACGATGAAATAACCTCTCATGTTCCTCTATCAGGAACTGGGGAAGGAAACCTTACTGAGGCTGAAGCTCTGCTGGTGCCCTACACTCAAAGATTTCCAAATGTGAGCAGTTTGAAAACAAAAAAAAAAAACACTTGTTGCAGATGTCACTATTTCAAAATGTCAGCCTATTGAATGCGATCATTTGTACCTTGTCCACAGGGAGCTCTTATCCTTTTTTATACTGCAAGAATCGCTTTGCTCAAGGGGAACTTCACATTTGTAAGTATTGCCCTCGCTTGTTTTAAAAATGCAATCTCAGCGCCATGTGGCTGTAGTTGTGATACATCTGTGATTCTCTACAGGCCCAGGAGAAGTTCCTGGCATGCATTGCAGCGCAGGAAGAGTGGCGTCAGATCCACCACTTGTGTTACTGGGAGCTGATGTGGGCCTACTCCTTTGAACAAAATTGGAAGGAGGCATATAAATATGCTGACCTGCTCTGCAAAGAAAGCAAGTGGTCACAGGTAATTAACGACGTCACATTTTCTCCACTTTGCACTTGCAATACTTTTTTTCACCTCTCATGAGGAGCTGTTTTTTTTCCCCCTTCTTTTGCAGGCTGTTTACGTCTTCCAGAAAGCTTCTATCTTGAGCATGCTACCTGAGGAGGAGGTGAAGAAGCTTGGAGAAAATGTGGAGGATTTATTCAGGTAGATAAAAACAGAACCGTTGTTCATGCACAAAGTGTGGATGCATGTTCAACATTTCAATTGTCCTACAGTAACTGTTATTTGTTGTTTGTAGGCAGGTGGATAGTCTCAGACTGAGGATTGCTGGTAAGTCGATTCCAACGGAGAAGTTTGCAGCAAAGAAGGCCCAGAGATACTCTTCTTCTTGCCCTGTGAAACTGGTCGTACCTGCTCTGGTGAGAAAACGGCATCATATTGCCCAATCACTGCTATCAACCCAGTGCTTGTTTCTAAAACATTGTTTTCTGCAGGAGATGATGTACGTGTGGAATGGTTTCACTGTCGTTGGAAAAAGACCTGAGCTGACAGAGAGCATCTTGAACACGTTAGCGAGAGCGGAGGAGGAGCTCAGAGACGATCCCAGTGAGTAAAAAGGAAGAATAACAAAAGCAGACTAATTTGTTGTATGACCACCCTGAAACAAAAAGTTGTTTTTCTTTCATTTATAGACCCATCTGAGTATCACCTGGATGACCAGTGTGTTGTTCAGCTACTGAAGGGCCTGTGCTTGAGACAGCTAGGGCGTCTGGTCCAGGCTGAGCTCTGCTTCAATCACGTCATTTCCAGGTATGCTCGTCTTTACACCACTGCAACACAAACACAGCTTCAGCAATCATCTGGCATCAAAAATGACAATGGTGACACTTAATAGTACAGTTGATTTTTTTAAAGTCCTGTTTATATACAAAGGTTCAGTTTAAGCTAACTAGTTTGTGCTAAAGCATCAAGATGTGTCATTAGCTCAAATCAGTGACTCCCTCCTCATAGTGGGTATGAGAATTATAGACATTGAGCCATGTTATTATGTAGTTAAATACTTGAATATCTCTCTCTTTAAAGAAATGTCTCCGTTGAATGACTCTAAGATATGATATTGGCTTTCTTTTTTTTTTTTTTTTTTTACCTACGTAATTGGCATTCCTCTTACTTGATGATCACTTGTGATATTTGCAAACTAAAATGTATGGTAATTTAAGTCTTACATTTACCTTGTCCTCTGCCTAGAAAAATGCACTGTGAAGGACATTTAGTGTGCTGACTCTCACCTTGTCCTGATGAACATGATGCATAACGTTTTTTTAAACTTTTTTACAGAGAAAATGATATCAAGCATGACAACTACCTGGTGCCTTTTACCATGTATGAGTTGGGCCTGTTGCACAAGCAGAAGGGTGACATCCCAACCGCCATTACAGTGATAGAAAACGCAATGTAAGTATTTTCAGCCCATCCATGCTAGGGACGGGTTTGGTTCCACTTAGTGTTGATAACAAACAAACAAACAAACAAACAAACAAAAATCTCCTTCCAAGATTGCCTTGATGAAATACAGTCCAACAACAGAAAAGGCATTGAGTCTTATAATAGCATTTCTTTTATTGGTTGTGAGGGTCTTAAGATTGATCCTCATTTGATCACTTTCTTCTTGTAATGAACAAACTTTCTCTGAAAGGAGAGATGTGCAAACATGTTAGTTCATGTAACACCAGTGTATAAAACAAAGATTTAATAAATGTTTTATTTGTAGGACGAACTACAAAGACTACAACATGGAATCAAGGCTACACTTCCGCATCCATGCAGCACTCAACACCATGGGCTCTTTTGCAGCCAAACTTCCTCCTTCACGTACTCCGGCTTAGATGACCCTGTGGTAGGAAGGTTGACACAACTCGCAACCCTGTTTACTTCCTTGAATTCTGCGGCTGTACTTGAAATGATCAGGATTGGCATCTTGTTGTCAGTCCCTTAATTATGGTGTGTACATCCAAACTTAACTTTGTAGGTTGTTGCAGAGCAGTGCTCTGAATTTCAGCTCAGTATGCTCCTTTAATGATTCAGAAATGTGTTTTATCTGTATGTTGGTGTGTATCTGAAAGTGCATCTTATGAAAGAAAAGTGTAATGTATGTGTTGGTGTATGAATATGTTTAAGATGTTGGGTTATATTCCATTGAAATATATCACAGCTTTTGTTTTAGCTTGAAGCTCCTTTTATCACAAGTTCTGCTTTGAGATGTTCATGAGGTTAAACTAGGTTTAATATTTAAAAATGTTTGTCAAAAAAGAAATTGAATAATATAAACTCTTATGTATTTAACTACATGCTGGTACAGTTCAACATTGTTCTAAAGATCTTGTAAATAACTTTTTAATTCCCCCCTGTGTTTTATGAGTCAATATGCTGTGTTTAGTATTCACTAAATAAATACTGTGTATATAATGACAATGTCTCTTAAATGGTTACACAATGAATGTGTAAGGTCAGATGATTATTGAACTTTCTAAAAACTTCCCTTGACACCTTTTTTTTTTTAAAAAGACCACTACGCATGATCAATTCATTTTGAATTAGTTTTACCCGAGGCTCAATTGAAAATCAATCCTGCATTCAAGGAGCACTTCCCTTTTTCTGTATAACTGAATTAAGGGAAAAGCCTGGAGCAAATCTTTTAACTCCAGTCCATCTTTTAGAGGGATCCAGATTTTTCTCTGCACAGCTTTTGCAAATAATAAATGAATTTACATATATAGCACCTTAAGAAAAGTATTACAACAAAAGCAAGTCTAAACAAAATGGGTCTTAAGCTGCTTTTTAAAAGAGTCAATAGTGCCTGCCAATCTTAAACCCAAAGGCAAAGTTTTCCAAAGTGTCGGATCTACGAACTTAAACGCACAGTCTACCTTTGCCTTAAGTCTGGAGTGTAGAACAACTAAAATACATTGAACCGACGACCTAAGAGATCTGATGGGAGTGGAAGGCTGTTAAAGTCCTGAGAGGTAGACAAGTGCCTGTCCAAGCAGGGCTTTAAAAGTAAGAACAAGAATCTTGAATTGTATTATAAAGATCATGGCATGCCAGTGTAGAAACAACAGAATTAATGTTATATGTGACATTTTGGAGGCTTTGGTTAATAGTCTGGCTGCAGCATTTTGTACTAATTGTAAACAGTTCTGGGTTGTTTCTCTGAGAAAGGTGAAAAGTGAGTCACGATAATCCAAACGGGATGAAATGAATGTATGTATGATCATATCCATCTGAGCTGTGGGAACAATGGGCCTTAGTTTGGCCATATTTCTCAGATGGGGAAAAAAAATCAGAATGGGGATCCTCTGTGTTCAGCGGCTACAGTTCTCAAGGAGGGTGGCCTGGGTTCGAATCCAACCTCCGTTCTCCTTTCTCTCATGTCATTCCTCACTCTCACTCACAAATAAAACTTTGAAAAAAAATCTGAGTGAACCAGACAGTGAACATGACAACCAAGGCACAGAGACTGACCAAAAGAAACATCGAATAAACCTGGAACTGGCCCACGAGTCTGGTGACAGTCGGAAAGAAAACAACAGCTGTAGCATTAATTCAATGTGAGAGCCACAGTATGTGGGCCTAGCAAGCTGCCATGAGACTATAACTTTAAATCACTGAGACAGAATGACCTACATATTACGGATAAATATTATTGTTCATACAACACATTCATTTGACATCTTAAGTCCCAATTTACTTTAAGATTAAGATTATGACTTTAGACATTCCTGTTGTCTACAATGTTTAAAGTTCCTCAAAACAGGAATGTCTCCCTCTGAATATCAGTAGCTCAGTCTGTAGGGACTTGGGTTGGAAATCGGAGGGTCACTGGTTCAAGTCCCGGCACAGACCAAGTCTGGAACTTGGCCTGGTAGCTGGAGAGGTGCCAGTCCACTTCCTGAGCACTGCCAAGGTGCCCTTGAGCAAGGCACCTAACCTCCCCACCAGCTCAGGAGCGCCCACTGTGGGCAGCCCCCTCACTCTGAGACCTCTCCATTAGTGCATGTCCATAGGATCCTGTTTGTGCATGAGTGTGTATGTTTGTGTAGCATGTTAACTAGACAGAGTGTAAAAATGAATTTCCCCTCGCGGGATCAATAAAGTATACATTATTATTATTATGTTAAAATAGAACAAGCTCTGATCTGAAAACTAGGAAAGGTTCCAGCCAGCTTAGGTGAGTGAAGCGAAACTTGCCTCGACTTGAGATTGATAGTGGGCTTTGTTTGGGCTGAGCACTTACGGTTCATTCTCTGAGCATCAACAGGAGAGGTCAGCTCACACGGGTCACACGGGTCTCTCTGTTGATTGCAAGCTGAAAGTCTTGCAGGGGTGGGTTAAGCCATGTGAAATTAAGAAAAGGAATTTCAGCTGCAGGTTATTTCTGGTATTTAAGCACACAAGGTCACTGAAGTGTCAGCCCCTTGAGGCCTGTCAGGCCTCATTGAGACCGAATTTGGTAAAGACCAGCGAGTCTACCTGCGCGAGTCCACTGAGCCAGGACCTCTGTGACTACTGCCTTTGCCTGTATTTCCTCTGGTTGCCTGCCTAATCCATCATGCTACAAACAAATCTCTGTCATTCATGGGTACAGGACAATCTTAACAACCTCTGCTTAAGAGAGCCTCTTCTACCCACCCTTCATTAAGTTTTAGCTTTTGGACCTGCCAATCTGTTGTGAATAAAACAGAATGTATCCCAGCACGAGCAAAACTTGCAGACATTCATGCACTTGCTCTCTGAAACATGGACATGTCCAGAAAACATGATCACACCATCTGCTCTCTCTGTTGACACCGAGTTCTCACACATGTCCCACTCTGTTGGACATTGACGGGGAACAGGTATCCTCATTCCCATAACCTAGAAATTCAACAATTTCCTCCCAATGAGCAACAGCTACTCATTTGAATATCTTGAAATCATGGATACTGCTCGTAAAACCATCAAGGGCTCACTGAGGTCATCAGAGAGCAAAGGTAAGGGCTCAGAGCAGCAGAGAGAAAATGGCAAAAAGCCAAAGAGTCCTCTGAACCCAGCGACTTTTAGCATAGATTTGCTTCATTCAAAACGGGTGACTCATATTATCAGAACAAGATCTGCAATGTAGGATGCAGGAAAAATGTTTTCTGCTTTTAACTCACTGCTCCACCCATTTCCTCCTCCACTCTCTGCTCACACCGGATGTGTTTGCCTCATATTCTACTGAAAAGGTTTTTATCATCAGTAATCAGTTTTCTGAGCCTGACCACAGTTTTGACCGTTAACCATCAAATCCTCCTATCCCCGCTCTCTGAACTTGACATCTCAGAATCTGCCCTCTACTGTTTCTATCCTACCTCTCAAGGAGATTTTTTAGAGTGTCTTGGAAGGGAGAAGTTTCCGAAGCGCACAACCTATCCAAACGGCTGCCTTAAGGGTCAGTTCTCGGTCCCCTTCTCTTCTCCATATACATCACCTCACTTAGTGCAATAATCTGATTTCATGGCTTCTCATACCACGACTATGCTGCAATACATACTTCTTCACGTCATTCCAGCTAGATGACATTGCAGTCTCAGCAAGAATTTTGTCATGCCTCGCTGATGGCTCTTAATGGATAAATGAACGCGACCTTCAGCTCAACTTGTCATCCCAGCCAGTTCCTCTATGCAACCACAGATCAAGCTTGGTAAAACCAAACTCATGCCCAAGTCTGCCCGGAACCTACCAGTAGGTGTCATGATTGATGACCAACTAACATTCAAGCTACAAGTGGCCTAAGAGTCGAGCTAGAGTCCTCTCGTCTGTCACCCCGTCTAGTCCATTCGATCTGCACAATACCTTTGCAACTTTAAGAAAAAGCTAAAGACCCAGCTCTTTCATGAACACCTACGCACTTAATGATATTGAGAGATGATGTTGATGATTTTGATGATGACGATATTAAGGATGGTTTTGATGCTGATAAGAACTGTCAAGAGCAGCTGTAAATGTTGTTGTTGATGACTTTATAATGACTTTAATTATCTAAAAAATAAAAAAAGTGCTCTGCCTCTGTACACCGCCTGTCTGCACCTGTGTGTTTGATCGGACTCAAAGCTGTTTGCTTGCACAGTAGAAGACCACTTTGGCTGAACATGAAGGCATCAGTATAAGATAAGATAAGATAAGATAAGATGAGATATACTTTATTCATACCAACAGAGAAATGTAGGTGTTCCAGCAGCCAGCATACATACAAACATACAACACAACATATATATACATACATATCCCTCCCATACAAAAAACATGAGCCCACAATACATAGCCAGGATAAAAAAAAAGTGGTGTGCATAAGTAGCTATTACTCATAGATAACAGTACAAAATACTAGCTCTGCCAGTGCATAGTATGATAGATAAATAAATAATTATTATAAAAAAAGCAGTCAAGTGTGCAAATATACAGGTGCAAAATACAGTTTGATATATGCAGCTCAGGCTAAAGTTTAAAAAGTTTAAATGTCTTCTGTCCTTACTTAAAGGGTAGTCGTTATATAGTGCAATTGCAGTAGGTAAATATAATATAATATAATTGAAATATATAATTAATTAATTATAATATATAATATAATTGAAATATATTATTAATTAATTAATTAATTATGATATATAATATAATATAATTGAAATATATAATTAATTAATTATAATATATAATATAATTGAAATATATAATTAATTAATTATAATATATAACATAATATAATTGAAATATATAATTAATTAATTATGATATATAATATAATTGAAATATATAATTAATTCTAATATACAATATAATATAATTGAAATATATAATTAACTAATTATAATATATAATATAATAAATTGAAATATATAATTATTATAAATATAATTGAATTTTAGTCACGAGTGGAACAGAACTGTACTTTTGACACTTAATTATGTAAATTGTATTGTATTTGAAGATTTAAAATAAAGGTAATACTTTATTTCCCCACTTGTTAATAAGAAAATAATCTGAGAATTTGCCATCAAAATGCATCTCTTTCTATTTTAGGTATTTAGCCTATGCATGTACATGAGACACAGTGCCAAGGATTTGAACGACAGTCCCACAGTCCCACAGTAGGCTGGTTAGAGGGGTTTTTTAACATGCACCAGTCAGTGAGCCGTCAGCACTGGTTACCACATGGTCTGTGGTGATCAGCTGACTCTGGCGGAGGAGGAAGAGGAGTAAAGATGGAGGGGAACAGGGACGAAGCGGAAAGATGTATAGATATAGCGACGAGGGCGCTCGAAGCCGGCGATAAAGAGAAAGCGTTGAGATACCTGAACAAAGCAGAGAAGCTGTATCCCACTGTCAGAGCCAAAGGTAAAAACCCGTTCATGATTGTCACGTTACGCTAAACCAAGCCAAGGAACATTAGTGATGTTTAGTGTTAAGCTAGATGAACGCTGATGTTTGTTAACATCACTCCACACAGTGTCCCCCCCACTCGGTAATGGCATGTTGCATTTAATTGTTGGAAGATGGTAATTTAAATGGCCAAAAAAAAAAAAAAAGACAGGAAATTAAGGAACACATAACCAATTTAGTCAGCCTTAGCCAAGTTGTCGGCCTAGCCTTGTGTTAGCTAGCAGGCTAACGTACACATCGCCTCGCTGTGACGTTCATGGACCTCTTAGTAAATCGGGATTATGTACGATGAAATACAGTGAACAAGCATAAGCCTCTAGTTGTGGCAGCTTTGTACTATAATACCATATGCGAACACAAAGGTAGCCACTCCAGACACGTCCATCTATAAGCAGCCTTCAATTCATGCTAACCAGGTTTCACTTATTGCAACAGCTTGAAAAGCCTTTTTGGTTCATCTGCAGTTTTACTAAAGTATACACGATGACGTCAACAATAATGCTGATTTTCTTTTCTTCTTTTGACTTGCAAAACAAGCAAGCAGCATTGAGATGGGTGTAGTTTGTTGTCGCTAGGACTTGATGCTATCCATCCAGCCACCTGCCAATCCTTTAATTGAATGACCCAGAGAGAGACTGGAAGTGTGGGCTAATCCGGGACACACATCTGCCTTAAAATAACAGAATGGAGGATTGACTTGAGTCAGTAAATGGTTCCTCAATATACAGTGTAGTGAGCGACTGTGGGATAAATGAACGTCATGATTGATGATCTGTAGATCCTCCAGGGTCTGAGATCAAGTGTATTCATAACCCTAACCTGCAACTATAGCAGCTAACACAATGTTTATCCCTTTTTTTTGTCTGCCTCTTCTCAAATGTGTGCAATAGAATAGAATAAAATAGAATTACTTTTTACTATTGATCCCAAACTGGGAAATTGTGGCGTTACAGCAGCAGGTTGTCCAAACACACAATATGAGTAAAAAACACAATGTTAGCAATCTAAACACAATATAATATTAACTACAAAGTGAATAAGTACTAAAAGATATCAAAAATAAGAATGTGAATATATACAACCAGGATTTAACTAAGCATTACTAGTCTTAAATAGGAAGATTAAATATGGAAGATTGAATGTAAATGTGCAAAAACAGAGTCGTAGATGGCAAGTCTTAAAGCTCAAAGGTTGACAACACTCAGTGACATCTGATAGTAGAAATATGGACTAATGTCGTTGAATGTGTTGACTGTCTATTCTTAACAAAAAATTTATGATATGATATATATGATATATATCATTTAAAATGTTTAAATGATATATATATAATTTTAAAAGTCCATTTGCACGCACTACATTAAAACAAATTTGTATCTCAGTAAATGGAGTTAAATTATGGAATTCTCTCTAATCATTTAAAATGCTGCTCAAGTGTCATTCAATTTAAAAGAATGTGTAAAGAAAAGGTTCTGGGAAATTATGACTGTATTGAGTTAATCTAAGTGATTGTATTTGATTGTTTCTGTATTTTTTTGTATCTATTTTTTGTTTTATAGCCATCTTATTTTGTTAAACAGTATTGTGTTATTAGGAAAGGGGGCAGGTATTATAAGTTTTCTTCTTCCTGCTCCTGTTTGCTCATGAACAGTGTTTCAGCATTATGAGAAAATATTTTTTTGTTGTGTATTATGGTGTTGAAACCATACACTGAATTGAGCAAATAAATCAAATATGAGATGAAATATATCTATTAAGAGAAAAAGTGGCAGGAGACCTGAATTCTCTGCTTGCCATACCCAACATGTATTTGGCTGGTGCATTCCTTCAGCTCCTCAGCTGTTAAACTGTAACTTGTTAGTTGAAATGTAATAGAGTTAGATGTCCATCCTTTGTCTGCGTAATGATGTGCTTGCACCATCAGGTTAAGCTGTTCAGGCTGCTAACAGGAAGCAAGTACCCAACCGTCCCTCCAAGGAAGGGCCTTAAATACAGGGGAGGGGTAACTGCTCATACCTTGCTAACAGACTGGTGTAATTACTAAAAAACTTATCTCACCCATACTGATGTAAGAAAGAAAGTGAAAGCTTTCCATGGTCTGATATTTCAATCTTGCACTGAACAAACAAATAAGCAGAGAAAAAACAACATAAAACAATAACTGAATATTAATAGCAGGTTTTTCAGTACCTGATGTGAGGGGATGGTCATGTTGCAGTGAGTTTACATTTGCTCAGGTCTGTCATTGACCGACTATAATGTGTATTAGTACTCAAAACCCTGGTGATACTGTCAAGAGCATCATACACAAAAATGGTCGGCAAAAGATGGCAGGCAAGGCAGAACCTTTTACAACATCCTCTTTTTGGTAAAGTGCAACACAATTCCACATTTTCCTGCTGTCATTGAGTTATCTGGTGTCAGTGCGCAGGTTATTATCATCTGGCTCAACTCAGATTTTTCCAGTCTGCTGTGAATGTGTTTTCAGTTGTCAGTATAATAATATAAAATATATACTATATAGGGGGAAGAAAGAGATAATGGAAGGAAGTTTATGTTTCAAACTATTTTATCACTATGCAAACAAGGCTGCTGTTGAATCTGTGTGTGAAAGCTGTAAAATACAAGTACAAACTGAACAGAACTAAAGGGGCATTCATGTTAAGTTCCCTTAAGTGTTATAGAAAAGGATTGTGGCAGTGCAGGACACAATAATTGTGTGCTTATGTTATATGAGAACAGGCCATATAACAATGAATAATACATTCAAATAAAACATGGACAACATAACAGTTGAAAGCATTTCTACTACAGAAGCAGAGATGATAAGTTAGCTCTATGCTGTTGCTTTGCCATCTTATCTTTCCTCAATGCACCTCACACCTGATCACTATTAAGTTATTCATGTAACTGTACATCAGAGAGCTGTTCTTTTATCTGTGCTTGGGTAGTGACACAGTTTCTTCATTTTAGAGTTTTTGTTGGTGTGAGAGAAGCTTTTACCTTACTGCGTTATAGGCTGAATTAGAGTTTTAATACTTTTATACTTTCTGAAAGTAGCTGTCTGTGTTCTCCGATGTGCGGACACGGACTTGACAGGGCGTCCCTTTTATTATTTTTCAATTTTTTAATTTTTGCGTGCGCCTGTCTTGTTAGCACACTTAATAATAGCATTTAGCCATTCATGTATTATGTACAAGAAGTAACCATGCTCAGGCCCAGTTAGTCCTGGGGCAGTGTGAGTGCAGGCCAGCGAGGGAATTGGGAGCGGGAGCAATCATGCTTAAGCACGGTACGGGACAACTTTTCCTAGTGTGAGTGTGTCTTAAAAGCTTGGGCAGTTGTAGGATACTAAAGGCACTAAATGCCGTTTTTAACTGTAATCTTTTTCTTCTTCCATACTTCCTCAGCTTTGTTGGATGCATTACAGAAGAATGGCAGCTCAGCGGGTAATGGTGCATATCGTCGGCGGCCAACAGAAAGCGCAGATTCCCAGTCAGAAAGGAAAAGTCAAGAGTCTGGAGGAAGTGACTTGGCTAAAGCCTTCACCAAAGAGCAGGTCGAGGGAGTGCAAAGGTGAGGATTTTAAGATTCTCCAGGTCCTCCTGGTCGTGCTGTATTTGTTGTTGTTTGCTTGTTGGTACTGTGATATGTCCCTCTCCATTTTGGTGCGTTCCAACAAATTGTAACATCAGTACTGTTTCTATCAGACCTGATTAGTCCTTTCATCTGTGTCTGCAGTGTTGTGCAAACAGCTATTGCCATGGGAACCTCTTCAGCTTAGTGTCATGCCCATTAGGGGAGAAAGAGAGAGACATTTAGCAGCATGATCTAGATACCGGATAACCACTGCATGGTCTTATTTTAGACCACAATATATGGAGGAAGATGTAGGCAGTCGAAGATTTCATCCAAAAATGTCCGCTTCAAGATGCATCACAGAAAGACTGATGCTAATAGCCGCTGGAGTTTATTTATAGGATGAAAACACTGCTCGTTATTATGTAATCCTACAAGTCTATTGCACTTAAATGTCAGGTCTCTATTCCCTTGTGCTCTTTAGCTAAAACCTCAGGGAACCTCCTGTGGGTTTAAAATTGCATCATATCTTCTGAGCGAAAGTAAGGCTTTTAATGCTACATGTTTACCCTTTCCCCTCTTCACAGACTCTAAGATTGTTTCAAGAATACCACAGTCAATTGATCATATTTTTAAAGGAACGGTGCATAGGATTTTGTAGTTTTTAGCTCTGTGGTTTTAGGATGCAAACAACTATTAATGCTCTTACTCTCCCCTATCAGGCATATACGATGGCTTCAAAAGACCCTTTCTTTAGCCAGGTGTTGGTATTTCCTTTTGTGCAACTGTAGAAACATGGAGATGTTAAAATGGTGCGCTACACAGAAGAGGACCCACACCCTCTGTTAATACGGACATACACACAATTGTACTTTTTAGGTGATTATTTTCTTTTAAAAAAAAAACATTTAATCAGTTAAAATACTCTGTATTAGATTAGTATATCTGGGAAATAGAATAATATATACAATATAATGATATCAGTAGAAATCAAACTATATCAGAAATTAATAAAGTTTAGATGCTTGTTTTCCTTCTTTCCTACTTCACCTTTTTTTCTTTATATAAAACAAGAGCTGTCATTCCTCTGGAAGAGACCCACATGGTATACAGATATACTGTGTATTTTGTTGAATAATATCAAGTGTTTGAAATTAAGTACGGTGAATACACTCTTAAAATCGCTGTAAAGGAAAACCACACCATTTATGTTGGTGGAAAAATCTTTAAATGTGTGAAAAGACCGAGTGCTGTGTTCACTGAGTTATGGATTTTTAGACTGTTAAAAGGTTTTTCACAAGATTAAGTTTCAGGTTTGCAGGGCCAAATGGGGGGGCTCAATGACACACTTGGGTTCCTTAGCATAATCCTGCACAAGTTGTATCTTGCTGATACTGTAAGTACAACGTATACATGGCAAACTCCATTTCAAAATGATCTGAGGCATCTGTGTGAGTACAGAAAATCCAGATTCTTAAACCACTGGGGTAATGTAAAAAGAACAGTGCTTGAATATTAACTCGGTTGTGTGACTTGAGCTATGATCATCAGCAAGTAACTTATCATATGCATGTGTCTGCTGCTGTTCTGAGGGTGACGGGGAAAGAGACTGTTACATTAAACCAAGAGTAGCATCTTCTGCTGAAATAAAACTGATCCACTTGATTGTTTACAACTGCTTTCCTGTCTTTTCAGAATAAAACGGTGTAAAGACTACTATGAAGTTCTGGGGGTCAATAAAGAGGTCAATGAGGAGGAGTTAAAGAAAGCCTACAGGAAACTAGCACTCAAGTTCCATCCAGACAAAAACCACGCACCAGGAGCAACAGAGGCCTTTAAAAGTAACTCCATTATGATTTCTATCTGATCTGTTCTGAGCTTTTAGAAGAGTAGCTCCCCTGTGACTGATGCATGTTTAATAACATGTAACTTAGGAGTATTTATGCATTGACTTTTAGCATGTAGAAAATGAAAGGATTTATGCCTCTTCTACACATCATGTGTGATCCACTTTAGAGATCGGTAATGCGTACGCAGTGCTGAGTAACCCAGACAAAAGGCGACAGTACGACCTGACGGGAGGGGATGAGCCGAGCAGCCCGGGTCACTCGCACGGAGGAGGCTTCGACTTCCACAGGGGCTTTGAGGCCGACATCACTCCTGAAGACCTCTTCAACATGTTCTTTGGAGGAGGCTTTCCCTCCTGTAAGTACCTGTACATTTTTAATGTCAGTGACTTTTATTTAATATATTCCTGTTATTTAGGTTTTATCTATTTAGAATACAGCGGTCTTGTCTTTGACTTTGGATGGATTGTTTAAGTACAAGACTGAACATTGTTATTTAGATCTTCTGGTGAAGCTTGAGATCCTCAGATAGAAGTTTTAAACAGTTAATTTTACAAGTCATCTGGAAAGAAAACGTGATAATAAGCACTCCAGAAGTAAAGACGGGTGGTTGCGTTCTCTTTTCTTTTAGACGTGCATAAAATTGAACACTAGGCCTGATATGCCATCTTATGTAGAAACAACTGAACATGAAGTTTTTTAAAATTCTGACCATTGTCTTTGTATCTGTACACCTCTGACATATCCTTTTTATCTACAGCAACTGCACACACCTTCACCAACGGCAGAACTAGCTTCAGCCATCAGGCGGATTACAGACAAGAGAGAACAGAAGAAAGAGGAGATGTATGTAGACGTGTTCAGATTTTTTACCATTTCTTTTGTGTGTGTGTGTGTGTGTTTGCAAAAGTTGAATGAGCAGTTTGATGTGCACCTTTAGAAAAGACATTGTACAAAATCTTCTCATTGCACTGTGTTTCCCTTTAGGGTGGCTTCTCAATGTTTATCCAGCTGATGCCCATCGTGGTTCTGATAGTAGTGTCAATACTGAGCCAGATGATGGTGTCCCCTCCACCCTACAGTCTCTACTCCAGACCGTACGTACTAAGTTTTAAAGTTTGCATTCATATTGTTTTTGTATTAATAAAACGTCGGCACAAACAGCTTTTCATGGTGTCAACTAAACCCTAGAGAAATGCATTTGAGGGCTTTAGTATTCCATTCTTAATTTTCTTTTTTTCTGTCTTCCTTTTTTTTTTTTGCACAGTTCTTTTTTTAATGGGTTCTACTATTTAAGGAACTATCAACTCTAGGGTCAGAATTTTTCAAAAGGCTTGTACTCCCTCTGTGTTTCAGATCCACGGGTCAGACAGTGAAACGGCAGACAGAAAACTTGCGCGTTGACTACTACGTCACAAGAGATTTTAAGTCGGAGTTTAAGGGCTCGGCGATGCAGCAAATTGAGAAAAGTGTGGAGGAGGACTATGTATCTAATGTTAGAAATAACTGTTGGAAGGAGAGACAGCAAAGTGAGTAACAAACGTATTAATACACCTTTTAAAGCTTTTGCTTGACACTTTTTTCCCCTGGACTCTTGTTATAGCTCTCACATTGTGTTTCTGCTCTTCTCATCCAGAAACAGACCTGCTGTATGCTGCTAAGGTATACAGGGACGACCGAATGCGCAAGAAGGCAGAACTTATGACCATGGATAACTGCAGGGAGCTGGACAGACTAAACAACCTATTCAGAGGAGGATGAGTTAGACCCTTTTAGATCACGTTATTGTACAGAATAGATGTGTATGTTCATGTTTTTTTTTAAGAAAGAGTCTTAACTCTAGGAGCAAAAACTTAAAGAAATAAGTTCAAAGTTAAAAAATGTCCATTCTCTCATATCCCCCTTCCAACTCTCTTTCCTCACTCCAGCCTGACCCCAGGAATCGCCTTGTTACTTCACAATGAAACAATCTACTCACACTGTAGAACGCCCCAGGCCTTCTCGTTTTTTTTTACTCTCCTTTTCTTGTGTTTTCCTAGAAACAAGGACACTTGATTGTAAAGGCATGTACTTTTGAGTAATAAGAACCCCAGAGACATTCTTCACAATTAATTCACTGTCAGCTTTCAGCATCATCTGCTTGAGGTAAATATAAGATGGGACACTTTGTAGGTTTGTCTGGTGGGGTTGACCTCCAGCCAAATCCATTTCTTGAAGGACACAGGAACAAATGAAGAAAAAAAAAAGCATCTTTTATCCTTCCACTCTGTTCCAAATGTGAGCAAAGATCAGTAGATCATCAATAAATACCTGTGATTTTGCTACAAGAGAATATTTTATGATTACTTCAACATTTGAAGTTGGGGCTTAACATGGAAGGACGTTTAAGCTGTTCATAAATGGTTGTACATTTTAATTTTTGAATGTTTTGAAATTTATGCAGTTATTTAAGAAACTATAGAGGAAAGAAATTTTTCTTCAGTGCTCGCCTAATCATTTAAATAAAGTCAAATTATTACAATAGACTGATTTTTTTCTTTTCTTTCTTTTCTGTCAGTTTCTTTCCCAAAATGACAGGTACAAAAAACATCACATTTTGCCTTCATTCATTTTTGCTGCCATACCTACACACATTTACATTAGAGCTGAAACGAAAGTGACCAGGGCTCGTTCATAGTTCTTCTTTTCCTCGAGACTTTCAGGCTTGTGGATAATCTTTAATAGCTAGCAAACGGCACTGTGCTAAGAAATGGAATGTAACCAAGTAGGTCATTGTTGTTTTTCCATAGATTATAATCAGTCCAAGCAATTTCAGTTTAGGTCCAGCCAGTATGGCTGTCATTCAGTCAACCTCTACATTTATGGTGCTTTTATCCAACAGTAAAAACAAGCAGCCTATAGGTGTTAATGCAACATCAGGTAATTTATATCTTTCATATGGCTCCACCAGCACAACTAGATCCAGGACTTTACAAGAACTGGACTGTAGCCAGCCAGGCTCTCTGACTTAGTGTGTCCACATGTTTCAGCAGACTTGCTACTTTGTATTACGCACATTTATCGATGTGTTTCCTTTTTTTTGCCACCAGTGAAATAGGGGTTTGTTGGCAGTTGTTTTGGTGCATGTGTGATTCTAAGGTACAAGCTTGATCCATCTAAACATTGACTGTCTGCTGTTAAAAAAAAAAAAAAAAAAACTAAAAACATGTTTATTATTTTTGTATTATTTGGAACTGCTGAGGTTAAAACTATGGAAGTGTATGTATTCCTAAAACGTATCTCATCGTTATTCTTCAAGAGATGTATGATGAGAAACATAGTGGCTGAAGCATCATGTCCAGGCAAGGAGGGAGTCCTGATGGAACTTCAATAAAGAAACAGGAACTGCAGTGTCATCAGACTGCATCGTTTCATAAAACCTACCTACGACCATGTATATATATTAACTTTTAAAATGATATGCCTCTATGTCTGCCTATACCTAATTCTTTTAGTTGAGATATGCAGGCATACATTGTCTGCCCAATCAGTGGCTCTATTTGCAACCACCCTTTGACTTCATGCATATTAACTTAATTTTCTAATTTATTTACCAATTATTTATATATTCTTATTTACATATCTTGTTTTAATTTTTTTGTATACGTTTTTATTATTTTCCCTCATACTAAGTTTACTTGTGTCAGGTAAAGTCGGGAGACTAACAGTTATATTTGTTTGTACATGTTGTGATATTTCCTGAAAAGAAATACAAAGTTGAAAAAATAAAGAGAGGTGATTTTAGACTTAAAACTAATATCTGCCATTTAAAGATAGTGAAAATGATTAATTATTTCCCAAACGAAGACGTTTACAACATCGGAGCGTCGCAACTCCGCTATCGTCGTGATTGGTTTCCCAGCGGTCACATGACAGCGTCAAAACCCGGAAATGAAACCCACTGCCGCGTCAGGTAGGCCAGCGCCTCATTATTACGTCAGGTGTTCGTGAGTGAAATCAAAACAACCCCTGAAGTAAAACTTTGAGATGCCGTCAGGTGAACACATAAAGGACTAGAATCCGGCCAGGAAACGCATGGTGTTTGAAGCTTTGACGTGATCTGGACTATGCAGTATCACAGCTTTGTTTGTGTTGTTCTGTTGGGTTTGTGCTCTTGTGGATGTCTTCGAAGTGTGTCTGCCTGCCAAAATGAGCCAGAGACTCCAGACTGGAGGCTGACTCTGAAAACGATCCGTAACGGAATTCACAAGATTGACACGTACCTGAACGCAGCACTGGACTTGTTTGGTGGAGATGACGGACTGTGTCATTACAGGTGCAGTGATGGTGAGCTAGTGTTTCATCTTCCTTCTAAACATTTGTATCTTTGTTGTGCTTCACTTAGCCATAGAGCCGTGTGTCAGTCTGGTTTAACGTCAGTATTATTATTCATAACTGAGCTTTACACTGTTATGTCAAGAACAAAAGTAGCAGAGACGTTTTTATGGATTTTGAGTTGATGCAACACTTACAAACCAGCACATATACATTGTGTTCCCTTTAGTGGCAAGGTAAGTCCATTAAGTGGACTGTATACTGATGTGTTTATCTCTTACAGGAAGATAGCTGGCTGTGACTGAACAAGAAACCTTTTCACCTTTGCTCCTCTCTCACAGGCTACACGCCGGTACCTCGTCCTGGATACAAACAGCCACCGCCCAACGGATGTGGATCCCCGCTGTTTGGATTTCAGGTAGTTTGACACAGGTTTGATGTTTCCTCCGTCTCTGGAACAAGCAGACCAAGGGATTTCACTTTTATACAAGCAGCCACACTCTCCATGTTCTTGAGCATTTAGAGTAGAATAGAAGTTTATTTATAAAGCACATTTCATTACAGGTGAGCTCAATTGAAGATTAAAAAAAACAAAAACAGAAACATAGGAATACAAGAGACACAAAAGTTGTCTCAACAATCATGAATATGATACAAAAAATCAGATTAGGGACAAAACAGTACAAAAACAAAACAAAAAAAACACTTACACATATACACACAGAGTAATTATTTGTATGCTTGAGGGAATAGATAGGTTTTGAGTTTGGCTTTGAAGGTAGAGACAGTTGTGATGGACCTCAGGTCAGCAGGGAGTTTGTTCCAGAGAGAAGGGCCACAGTAACTGAAGGCCCCCTCTCCGGACTTTGATTTGATTCTTGGAATGACTAATGGAAATGGAGTGTTTTTAGGACTGGGGTGATATGATCAAATTTTCTTGTGTGTCAGAAAATCTTGTGTGGACTCTGGCTGCTGAATTTTGAATGAATTGGAGTCGTCTGATAGATTGTTTGGGTAACCCGGCATACAGGGCATTACTGTGATCTAACCTGGTGGAGATGAATGCATGGACTCATTTTTCTGCATCTGTTTGGGATATGAAGGATCAGAGTTTTGATATGTTCTTTAAATGGTAAAATGCTGTTCTGGTAATGTTGGAGATATGATTTTCAAAGCTAAGATCGGGGTCTAAAATAATTCCATGATTTCTGGCCTGCTCACTGTATTTAATGGAATTTGATGTGAGGTGTATATGGATGTGTTGTCTCTGAGCTTTTGGAACAAAAATTAGTGATTCAGTCTTGTCTGTGTTGAGTTTTAAAAAGTTTCTAAACATCCAGGAGTTGATATCTTTTATACAGTCTGTAAGGGCAATGACCCAAGGACTGATCCTTGTGGAACACCAGAGAGGACCTTTCTTTCTTTAGATTAAAAATTTCCTAGAGAGATGTGACATTTCCTGTCTTTTAAAAAGGATGCGAACCAGTCGAGAACAGGGCCTGATAGGCCAACTAAATAGTGAAGTCTTTGAATCAATATATCATGATCAACAGCATCAAATGCAGCAGACAGATCAAGTAACACTAAAATTGTAGCTTTTTGACAGTCACTATTTATCCTGATGTCATTAACAACTTTAACAAGGGCAGTTTCGGTACTGTGATTTGCCCTAAAGCCAGATTGGTGTGTATCGTATATGTTGTGAGTTGAAAGGTATTTGTCCAGTTGAATGTAAACAACTTTTTCCAGTATTTTGCTAATGAAAGGAAGATTTGAGATTGGTCTGTAGTTATTGATTACTTATGAGTCTAGGTTGTTTTTCTTAAGCAGGGGTGTGATGACAGCATTCTTAAGAGTAGAAGGGAAAATGCCGGTCTGTAAAGAGGTGTTTGCAATATTAACAATGTTTTCTATAAGGCAATGAGAAACAGTTTTAAAGAGTTTGGTGGGGATAGGATCTAAAGAACAGGTGCTAGGTTTCAAGTGCTGGATTATTTCCTCCAGATTGGTTGAGGTAATCAGGGGAAATGTAGACATTGAGCTCTTGGCAGAAGGGTTGTACAAAGGTGGGGGTGGATCACATGAGTTTTTGAGGGAAATTAATAAATCATCTCTAAGGTTGGACACTTTTTCTTGAAAGAAAGCAGTAAACCAATGTAACTGTGATGTCCATGTCAAATATAGTCAATCTATAGCTCCTGCTTTCATGCTGTCTACAGGCTGCTTTATTCATCATTTAGTTTGATTTAGATTCATTTTCATTCAACAATAGTTCTAAAGAGTGACATATGTGTTTTTCCCAGTTTGATATAGGTATACCATCCATGACCAAATGTTGTAACCAACATGACCGCTGCTATGATACCTGTGGCCAAGAGAAGCACGACTGCGATGAACAGTTCCAGGACTGTCTCGAGACCATCTGCAGGAATGTTCAAAGGACTCTTGGATTGGCCAAGAGTGTCCAAGGTAATTGGCCAAAACCTTGTGTTTGAATAAGAGCCAGTAGGAGATGTGGTAACACCCTGCAGGAGATGATTGTAGATTGCCCTGCTCAGTGTCACACATCTGATTAAACACACAAAAAACTTTATACACAAGTAGAAACCCCAGTGTAATTAATAATAAGGGCTGAATTCCAATAATCTGCTTCTGTTTCAGCTGCTAAAATGGAGAGGATATGGCACACTTGTAGGACAAACTATTGGATAGCAGCCATGTTTCAGTTTTATGATATATTATATATATATTTATAAATATTTGATTTTTAACACTTATAAAAAAGAAATCTCTGCTGTAGCTCAGAGATCACAAGAAAGTTAAATGGCGCGTCAGTTCAGCTCAGTTGTTAAGGCTTGCACCCCATGTGCTGAAGCTCTAGTCCTGGTTGTAGCTGCCATGGGTTCGAATCTGACCATGGCCTCTTCCTGCATGTCATCCCCAGCGCTCTCCTCCCAACATGTTCTGCCATTTTTTGGGGTTTTCTTTCCAACGAAAGGCAAAAATGGCCCAACAATAACTTGAAAGTCACACACTGTACTTGTGCAAGAAGATCCATGTAAAACACAGTGTCCAGAAGGGGGCGACATAGAGCTAATTTAAAAAAACATAAATCCTTCATGTGGATCAGGATGACTGACATAACAGTATGATCCTTCTTAAAGAGATCAATAAAAAAAACAGTATTTCTGATCACAACCACAACATCAAA